CCCATTTCACCTACTATTCTAGAATCCATTATAAAGAAATATAAACCTTTGTCTAACACCCCTCATCTCCAACACCACAGAAACTTGACTGTATGTGACTTATCTGCATATAGTAACGATTTCTTTACACAAAGAAATCATTACTTCAACTGAAAACGGTACCCAGTACCAGCAGTAAATTGCACGATACCACATAGCCTAGCCTCATGCAGTGTCACTAAAATACATGGAAACTAAGCCAGATAAGTCTAGGGACGTATTGTAACATAAAATCTTATTATGTCAAAAAAACAGAACAGCGCGTCGAAAATTACATTTCATAATAATGATACCCTGAATAGACATTTTAAGTTTTAATTACCCTGCAGTGCTCTTAATTGAAGGGGAAAATCTCAAAATAGGCCTATGTACCACTTCTGTGAGAAGCGAGTTAATTTAGTACGAAAATAGTTTGATCTTGGATATTTATATAAGACATCTGACATCCTTACCGAAATTAAGTTTGACTCCAACTTCACCTCCAAAATTGTCGCTTTCATTCAAATCAAAGATTGCATGATGGAGTGGTGTAGATTATATTTGATACCGACTTATGTCGGACTCCATACGACCATGGAGGTATAAAAGTGACCAACTGCGCGAAAACTTGACTGTCGAGTACGTCTCACTGCCGACGTTACAGGAATGAGTCCCGAGTTCCCTTTTCTCTCTCGCACTGATAAAAATCGAGAACGTAATTTGATGATTCATAATCATTTCATTGCTGGCGTAGCCTCTAGTTGTAAACTGCATGTTTTGTCAAATGGGTCATTGAACTTTTGCTAGTCAGGAAACTCTCTGACCGTCTTAACCACACGAAATACACCCAATAAAGCACGTAAGGTACAGTAAATTGATAATGCGATGCGGCAACACATGGGTTTTTGATGTGCCGATTGAATGAAAAATAACTCGGGTGTGATGGTCTTTTTATTTGACATCGTTGAGTTGTCAATTACTAAAGCCCACTTATAACACGTCAGTCACTCATACTTACCAACTGTCTTGCATCGTGCGGGGCGGTCCCGCATTTCAAAGTGATTTTGGATGAAACACGTATTTTGCAGAAACACGTACGGTACGTGTGTGATCATAAATTTGTCTATGCGTGATAACGAATTAGCATGAATTCAGTTGAAAATGTATTTAAAATTAGACAAAAATTGTTATAAACGATATGAAAACGGTCATGGAGTAACTTGAGTCGTTAGAGAGCTTTCGTTATCTCGTTCAAGAATCACTTCACCGACAAAAATTATATGTAGGGCCTATATAAATTTTTAAAATAATGAAAGTACACCTGGCGCCTCATATATACCGAGCTTACCAACCCCAACTCGACGCTCTGCAAAACATAGGTAACATTTTCTTGAAAGCAAATTACTTCCTTGAATAAACCATGGATCTATTAATAGGCCCATGAATAAACAAAGAAAGTTATTCAAAATTGATTTTAGCTCAACACAAGACGGAATATCTTTAACACACATATGGTGAATATTCATGGTTTTTTTTTCTATCATTACTGTATACAGTAGTATTCACAAGTAAGAATTCCTTAATCGCAGAAAATCTGTCAATATACGAGTTCTCAATTATTCATAGACCTAATATGCCAATAACACGGCAGACATTATTCTCCATCCAACGGATATATTTGGAATCATTTCCCTCTATCAAGTTCTTTCGCCATAAAAAAAAAGGGGGTGGGGGGACGTGTTATAATCGTAAATATTAATGACCAGGGATCCTGACTAAGTCAAGTCAGCATGTTAGAAGAGGGGACCGGGTTACCGCTGTTACGTGATTAAAAGTCACTCCATGGTAATGAATAATGTCAAATTATTACTTCAGAAAATATTAGAGCCTAGTTTATTATGTACGTAACATTTCAAGGACGACCAGCATACTAAATTAATTAGGACTGCGAAAAATAAGTTACCAAAATCCAAATGAACAGGGAATTTATTTTAAAAAACACAATTTTTTTTTCTAGCCAATGATTTACCTTGATTTACGGTACCTTGATCTGGAAGCTAAAGCATATATTTGCTATCGTTTTAATTTTCAAGTGGAAGTTAATAACTACTGGTATATCATAGAAATAAATATTAGATTTTATTCTAAAACACTATGGTAACCAACAAGCCTATCGGAATCAATATCCGAGCATTTACTAATAATAATATTTACGAGCACGATATTGTAACTAAATCCATTTATAATAATAATAATCCATAATAATAATAATAACAATAGTCTGAAATGTAGTCGGTAGGGGCAAGGGGAAATTGAAACAATTAAATTATCTACGAAATGTAATTATTTAATAAATTTGATTTATATAACTCTTTGAACACGTGATTCTTGAAATAGGAGCACCAGAAACAGCAACTGTGTATGGTACACGTTAATTTGCGAAATGGAGGTTTAAGATTATTTTTTTCTCTAGTATCGAAATTGTGATTGTTACCATCAGTAAAATGTTTTAGATTTAATAATAAGCGTGAGTCAGGATTGTTCATCATGATCATGTTGTGAACTCTCGTTGAGTCATGCCATGTTGTGAACTCTCGTTTTTATGATTATTTTGAACGAATGCATTTATCAGTAATAAATAATATAAGAGAAATAAAGTAGGCCTAGGTGCACAAAGACAAGGAGGTAAAGAATATTAGGTTAGGTAGGCCTAATCAGGACCCTACGCCCTAGGGCCTAGGCATGGCTCGGTATGCCTACCCTGGACTCTCTACTACTACTACTACTACTTACTAGGAGGCCTAAAAAGTAGAGGCCAAATAAAATACTTTAAGCAAGGCACGGCTTAGTGATACAAGGTTTACTCACGTGTTAATTGATGAGATATATTATCAGCGGATCATTATCAAAAGTTTAAAAAAAAACATGAATTTCGGTAACAGTACCTATAAATAATAACATATAATTTATTCTAAAGCCCTAGGCTAGGCGCCATGGCTGTCCGAAGTCAAGATTTCGTCATAAAAAAGAGGAAGAACGTTACTCAAGCTGTCGCGCGTACACGCGACAATCCTCTCTGCGTGACGTGCGTGCGTGTGTGTGTGTGTGGTGTGTGTACTGTTCTAAAGATGGATTCTTCGATTTCCAAAAGGGATATCAAATTATAGTAATTGAGAAGGTTTTTCTGTTATGATACTTTTTCTTAATCAACATACATTTTTAATTTTCAAGTAAATATGGAGAAACAAGTAACAATTTTATCACATTACATCTGAGCTCAGTTAATCCAAACGGAGCCGCGCCCATTCAGCCAGAATATTTTTTTTTTGAAAATCGCTCCCCCACCACGGATCCGCAAATATTCATAAATCATTTTTCACCGATAGACCCGTGTCTAAAATATTTTGTTTTAATATTCAAAAATACTGTACTTGAATTCTGAAAATATTGAAATACAGAATTTCGGGAGAATTCCCTACCGCATACCGGTATATCCTTTTTAATGTGTTATGGTACTGTCGACGTAGATGGGGAATGTGAAAAAGAAATATAAAATTTCCTTCAGGGGCGTGGCTCCAGGCAGCCTTTGCCCGACAGGGTGGGGCGCTGTCTCCGACGAGAGCGTAAGTGGGCGTGGTTGGGCGTCGCTCAAAATCTCTCGCAAGTGATCCAGGCGAAAAATTCCCCGAAAACTAACAATTTGTGGGTTTCATCATCATCATCATCGTCGTCGCTTCAAAGGCTTACGGTATTTAATCAAATTTGAGTCTATTGTAAACTACCTGATCAACTAAAGAAGTTTAATCTTAACATAATGAAACAACGGAACAATCAATATAACCAGAAAAGATAATGCCCAGTTGAAAAGATGTAAATATTTTAGAAGTACCTGTCAATATATTAAAAGAAGAAAAGTACCGTAGCTTCTGCTGCATAACAAAATGAAAAACGTACTCGAAAGCTAAAATTATTTAATGCGTACCGGTATGTAGAAGTATTTTTCTTTACAATGTGAACTCGGGACATTCACAAAGACACTCGAACAAAATATTGATATTAAATCACATAAACAAAAAAAAAACTGGAGTTATACAATTAAAGGACGTCGGTTAAAATGGATGGACACTTAGTACGACTACCCGATGAAGCACCGGCAAATCGCGATAAAAGAAGCACAGAAAAATAAGGCGACCAAAATCGAACATGACGCAATAGAAAAAAAATAAAACCATCCTGCCCATGACAGAAACAAATGGCTCGAAATAGTGAAGAGCGTTCTGTCGCAAGACGTTACTGATGATAATAATGTAAAAAAATACATCTATACAGTATAATTATTTCCTTCCCGACGTATTTCTCCCCAACGAGGAGGGGGTCGGTGGCCGCCGCCCACCCCTGATTTTCTTCGATAATTTAAAAATGTGTCAAATAGTCCTTTATTTTATATATTTATTTTCCAGTATTTTTCTAGTATCCTTCTAATAACTGTTTGCGGCCTACAGTACCATATGGATAATTGTGTTTTGCTGAGAATATATCTCGAAGTTTCGAAATGCATTGTTATCTTCAATCGTCAAGATAACACTGTACTTTCTAATTTGTACCTTGAATTGGTTTAGAGCTATTTTGATTAAAACTATCATATCATCTGATTGTCAGATATGTCTGAACCATACCTGAATGACACAAATAATAAGCGATCAATAATGTACTGCACATAACTTACTCGAGAAATAGGTCCTGTTTATGACTTCAATGAGCCGGGCCAGAGCTTTGGATTGCAATAAATGCGAGATATAGTGTAGTGTTGGACATGGTGTGGTTTTGATTTAAATCCATTCGATCCCTACTTCTCTTGGTACCCTGTATAATGCACAATGTCATAATAACGTAACATTACACTCACTTACTGGTATACACTAATGTTAAAGATGCTGTGACATTACTATCCTGTTAATTGTAGGCCTTAATTAGTGGTTGGCAATTTACCGAACTACAAATCGTTTATGTAAATGGCAATAATGAATAGGCCTGTGCATGCGTTGTAATAATAAACCTAAACAGATATTTTTTTTTCCTATTTAGTTTTTCTTTTCCTTTCCCTGCAGGGGCGACGCCAAGGGTCTAAGCTCCCCGACAAGGGGGTCAACCTCTCCCCTCCCCCAGGATGGGGGAAGCTTAGCCCCATCACACCTGGTCGGAGAAAAAATTAAATATGTCGGAAAATTGTGTGTTAATTATAGAATTACATAGGCCTACTTGAAATAAAGGCGGAATGCTCCCACACAAGACGAAACAAAAAAAAACGTTATGAGGTCACATGTATTTCATGATATCACGGTTTAAACGCTTGTACATAAGAAATTCATATGGAAACATGTGAACGCAAGGGGGCGTAATTTTATTTAAACAGAACCCCCAACCCCCTCCCCACCCAAAAAATGTAAATGTATGAATATTCATAATGTGATGTTCCTAATTCATGATGGAGTGATCGTACGTTCATAAGAAATTAGTACAGACGTTGGTACTTAAGGGGTGGATTTTATGTAAAAAAAAACCAAAAAAAATGTAATTGTAAATAGATGATATTCATAATTTTCATGATAGAGTGAGCGAAGATTGTGGATGTTGAGCATCATTAATACATGATGGATTGCCGGCCGCAATTGGGCTTTCCGTACCCATGTGTGGCATGGCTTTGAAAAAAGAAATATAATTGTAAATAAAGAGGCAATTACTGATGTGATGTGCTTCACTATTGATTCATAGATTAAACATCCATCTTTGAGAAATTTATTTAAAGAAAAATAAAAATTGTAACGGTTGTAAATAAGTGAATACTCCTGAGTTTATATCTATTCTATCTGCGAATGTAAGACAATTACACTTTACGTAGTGGACTGAGCCTGTGCACTGTGTTGGAGAAATATAGAGATGTGTATAAAACAGAAAATGATTGAAAAAAAGAGACGATTGAAAATAAAGGTGGCTACTGCTATTTTTTTTTTCCCTATCTATTAATTCCTTTTTTTTTTTATTAAGTTCTCTCTTTCCCCTCTTTTCGATATTAAATTTCCTTCTTTTGTGTACATTTCCTTCTTTGCTCCTTTTCTTTTCTTGCCTTTTCTCTTCTTTTTGTTTAAACTAATCAGTAAAGTTTATATAAATATTTGTTATTGATATTAGTATAATTATATTTATATTTTATTAACAGGCCTACGTGTGTATTATATTGCTGCTTATTAACTGTGCAATGAGTTAAGACCAACGGGGTGCGCAGCAGTGGCATAACGACTGGTCAAGGGGCCAGCATATTGTAGTGGGAATTAAACAGATTACACTATGATTTTCTTAAGGTTTATAGAGGCTGTACATGTAAAAGTGGGCTGTAAACACAATGAACAGAACTTCATAATACACATTATTGGGATTCATCAATTATTTACTGCCCTTTAACAATAGAAACCAATGTAATATTTTATAATTAGAATTTTATCAGTTTTGCAGGATTCATTACAGGATACTTGTGACTAATGATGATGCATCTCATCCCTTATAATGTTCTCCTTCAATTCTCAATCAATGTGCATTTGTTCTAAATTGTTCTTGATTTTATGCAACTTTGCGAAGTCCGTTTTTACTTTTTTCAATCCTATGAAAATTCCATGATTTGTATGTTGATTTTGACTGAATAAAGAAATGAATGAAACTACAGTTAGTTATATTCATCTGTTTGATTTAGAGTGCTCATGATAGAAAATCAAACTTTTTACTATTAAAAAGCAAACAAAACAGTTTTTTAAATTACAATTTTGTCATTTGTTCACTGACTTCCCAAAGCTTCTTGGCAGCATCATCATCCAGTGCTGCTTTATCCCATGGTTCCTCTTTACAGTTACCATAGTAATGGCCACTTACACCTGTCAGCTCCCCAGCAACAGCACATTGGATAGTAGTTTGAGCACCTTGTGTTGCAGTTTTAAAAAACAACCATTTCAATGGTGTGAAAATAATATGTAACCACCATGGAAAGTAACGACCCAAGTTAGTGTTAACCACTCCAGGATGAAGGCAATAGACAGATACATTGGAACCAGCGAGACGTCTGTGTAGTTCCCTGGCAAACATTACATTTGCTAGTTTACTATTGTTGTACGCTTCACCTTTGTGGTAATGTTTTTCGCTGTTGAGGTCGTCAAAATTGATACGTCCACGTTTATGGAGCGACGATGACACAATCACAATACGGCTCATTTCAGTTTGTTTTAATGAATCCAGTAGTAAATTTGTTAATAGAAAGTGCCCCAAATGGTTTACCCCGAACTGAAGCTCGAACCCATCTTCAGTATGCTGGAGAGGTGGTTGAAAAATACCAGCGTTATTTATAAGAACGTCTAATCTTTTTTCTGCTTTAATAATATCTTCTGCAAACTCTCGGATTGATTTCATTGAAGCTAGGTCGAGTTTTTTGACAACAACCTCTCCATCAGGGGTATTCTTTCGAATATATTTAGCTGCATTTTCTCCTTTCTGAACATCGCGGCAGGCTAGAATAACCCTAGCCTCTCGGACAGCCAGGGACAGGGCTGTCTCCCGTCCGATCCCTGTGTTGGCACCCGTGATGATGACGGTCTTCCCTTGCATCAGAGCTAAACTTTTGCAGGTTGCTCCACGAAATCGACGTCGGATGAGATACAAGGTAAGGGTTACAACAATACCTACAGTAGCAAATGTTTTGTGGGATTCATTCGATGGTGCCATTTTAATATGCGTTGCCTGAAAATATAGTAAAATTCAATTCGAAACGTACATTATATTCCAAGTCAGCTGCATGATGTATGCCCTTGTTGGTGTGTGGTTTCTGTTGTATATTAACCTTTGACATTCACTTAGCCCCACCATCGAGGGTCGTTTTGGAGAGAGTGGAGAGAGTTCGAGGAGCTTGCTTGATAGTGCTGACTTTTAGATCATGTCTTTGTGTTCACTTTCTGGTATTTTTCGTGTTCTCAAACGTAAGAAAGAAAATTGAAATGTTGATGTATGTAAATTAAGTCATAATTCTCTTGGTCTAGGCAGGTCCTTGTACTGTCACTACATTATAATAATAACCTAGGCCTACCCTAGCTAGGCTAGGCCTGGTGTGGGCGGGAGTTATGAAAATGATGGTGCCTCGTCTGGACTCGGTCGGGGCGGCCTGCCTAGTAGGCTAGGCTAGTTACTTCGATGGTTAGGCCGAGGCCCTCAAAAGTGAGTTTTTGGTTTTTTTTGCACAGTACTTTAGTAAGGCAGAACACGCGAGAAGCTAGTAGTAGTAGACGAGTAGTACTGCTCACTCTGCTGAATGAGTTACTGCTGTGATTACCTACCAGCAACCAAACTACTATTATCTCAAGAATGAAGTAATGAATAGATTGTACTTCGGTGATTGTACTCAACTCCCATCTTGCTATCTTAATTGTAGGGTTAGGGTGGAGAACTAAAGACTAAAGTGCACACTTGTACTTCTGCTGTAAATAGATACACTGTTGCAGTCTCACATAAACTAAAGTATAAAAAATTAAATATCAATACAGTATTAAACAATAAATAGCTTATTTTAAAAGGATCGAATAACTAATTGTTGTTACTACTTAATACACACGTTCAAGAAACAAAGCACTTTTTAAAATAAAAATTATCTATTCCAATTGAGGGCCTATATACAAATATAGAAAGGTAATTTTTAAGGAATTTGTTGTAATTCCTGTTTTCAGTTGAACCATAAAAAATATTTACATTAATAGTACATATTATGAATCTATCTCATTTCAGAGTCAGCTGTACAACCAGCTTTGATCAGCATGACGAGGAAAATGTCAACCCTAGAAAATTACAAGTACAATACATTGTTGGTTACAAAACCTTCTGATTTTGTTTACCAAGTTGAACTTAACAGACCAGAGAAAAGAAATGCAATGAACAGAATATTTTGGAAGTGAGTGCAGTTTCCACTGTCTCGGAGTAGTACATTGATCGTACACATCAACAAGATATTTCGTCCAAAACACAGGCTGATGGTGGCAGGATTTCCTCGACAGGGGGCCTAAGTTGTCGTGACAACTTTAAAGAAGAGTACATAATAAATGATGATTTTAGTTATTTTCTGATCATCATTTTTTTATTTACCAGAAAGTAATATAGACACTGTTGACCCCTGACCTGTAGTACCTTTTTTATTCTTGTAAAATTATGAAAAAAAATGTTATTATGATACCTCATTAAATGTGGCTCTGAAAATGTATATATCAGTCTTCTGATAAAATTTAATTAAATTCAATTTTTTTCATTGTATAAGAGTTAACAAAAGTCAGTTGTTATACATTATACAAGAGATACTTTAGTAATGAACAATATATTATTTAATATTATTTTTAATAAGATACTAAAGCTTTATTAAATATATATTATTTTTAAAGAGAATTTAGAGAATGCTTTGGAGTTTTAGCTACAGATCCAGAATGCAGAGTTGTTATCCTCTCTGGTGCGGGAAAAGCTTTTACTTCAGGTAACTCCCTAATAGCTTTGATGGATATTATCTACAGTATATATATACTGTCTCTTATACACATCTAGATGTGTATAAGAGACAGCTTTCAAATATATATTATATATATGTATATAAGTATATATATATATATATATGTATTATATAAATAATGATGCAAAAATGCAGAATTAGACAGTAAAACAGATAATTATATACAATAAACAGTTGGCATTTGTTTTTTGGGGTTTTTTTTGTATAATTGTATACTAATATAATTATCTGATCTGTATTAGCCAACTTTTAATCAGTCACGCTGATGAAGTCATGGACCATAGTATTCACTGAGTAGTCATCCAAATTTTAGCTTAGAACCTAGGACATAACTAGGTCGGTGATGGCAGATTTGGTTGAGGTTGATGATGCAGATGCTCTGATGGTTTCTTTGTTACTGTCAACTTGTGTTTGTCAGTTTTATTGTTCTGTGGACTAAGTAAATGAAATGAAAACAATATAAACTTTTAATTAATTTTCAGGTCTGGATTTAATGGACCATGCAGAACTTTTATCAAGAGATGATGATGTCGATGTAGGGCGTACAGCTTTTACCGTCAGAAATTCAGTTATGGAGATGCAGAAAACTTTTTTAAATATAGAAAATGTAGGTGATTTGATAAATGTAGTAAATTAGTTGCCATGTTGGTATTCAGTTTCATATGTTTGCTGATGATCTTCAAAAGGATGTTACTAGAACCCTCCCTTGTCTCTCAAACTGTGTTCAGGATGTTCACTATTGGATGTCCTTAACAATGACAAAAAGTTCTTCATTTTATTAAGTTGTGCTCAGTTGAGTAAATTGTCTAATGTTGAGCTTAATCTTGGGAATAATATTTCAATTAGACCATCTCAAAACGTAAGAAACCTTGGCATCATCTCTGACAAAAGAATGACCATGTCAAGCATCCACATGTCAGTCTGTTAATTATCATCTTAAAACATATCACACATCCAAAAATATATCAATGAATCTACATGTCACCATGTGACCAGGTCTCTTGTCATCTCACGACTTGATTATGCTAATTCACTATATATTCGCTATAGATATCTGACGTCCACAATCACTTCAGAACAGGGCTGCCAAAATCATCTTACAAGCCCCCAAATTTGACAATGTCACACCTCTTTTCCAACAACTCCATTGGCTTACCGTTTCTGACTGTCTCAAATTTATAGTTCTCCTCATTACTTTTAAATGTCTACATGACTTAGTTTTGTCTTATCTCCAAAACCTTATTATTATTATTATTATTATTATTAATCCCCTCCCCACCCCTTCCCAAATATTATCCTAGAGAAGCGGTTTGGGGCAGCGTGAAAGGTTTCCCAACCTCGAGGTCTGGGTTTCATTCCCTCGCTGTGCATTTCGTTTGTGTCCTTGAGCAAGACACTTTATCTGCATTGCTTCTCTCCACCCAGGAGTATAAATGGGTACCTGGTGGGGTGCTTGCTCCTGCGCTGAATACAGCAGCAACACTTAGCATGTGGACCCAATGACCAGGGCCAGAAGCGCTTCGTATCTGCAAAGAAAGGCGCTATATAAATAAATATGATTAGATTAAGTTTAACAGTTTGTCTTTGATTTTCTTTAGTGTCCCAAGCCAGTGATTGCTGCAGTACATGGGGCTTGCGTTGGGGCTGGTATTGATATGATATCAGCATGTGACATGAGATATTGCACTTCTGATGCCTGGTTTCAGATTAAGGTTTGTATTATTTTGCATTGGCGCTCGGCCCATAAATTAGTACAGAACCTTAAAATTTGTTATTGGCTTGCAATAATTGAGCAGCTTATTGTATCGCAACAGATACTATAAATTAAGAGTAAAAAACATTAGTTATACAGTAACAGAATACACAGAGTTGTAGGGGTTATTGCTTTCGTTTGTTGGGAAAAATTTTTTTTTTTTTTAAGTTTTCCTTATTCTTTCATCGAATTTATTGACTTTTACTTTAGGAAGTTGATATAGGCTTAGCCGCAGATGTTGGTACTTTACAGTGGATGCCTAAGATTGTAGGAAGCCATAGCTGGGTTAGGGAGCTTGCGTTAACTGCACGCCAGTTCTTTCCTGAAGAGGCCAAAGAATTTGGATTTGTAAGGTAACTATTATTGGTGACACCTACATGCTTAGATCATATGCTACAACCATAGAGGAAAGTGGTACAATATTGCAATTAAAGCAACAGCGTTGTATAAATCCTTATATTTTGTGTGAATTTCAGTCGAATATTTGCTGAAAAGGAAGAGATGTTGAAGGAGGCTCTGACGGTTGCGGAAACTGTAGCGTCAAAGAGCCCCGTGGCTGTACAAGGGACAAAGATCAACATGAACTACTCAAGAGATAGAACAGTCAAAGAAGGACTTGATAGCATGGTATGTACATAAACAGCTGAAACCGTCATCCATACAACTACAGTATCTCTTTATGCCAAATTTGGCAAGTCAATATTGCTTCAAATGCAGTGGTTTCTCCAGGAATTTGCTGATTGGGGTCCAAAGCGAAGGTCCAACTACAGCCTCGGTCATGGTCCTGGAAAAATTCCTGGTAATGGTCCATGGGTCAGTTGGTACTCAAAATAATGTTATTTGGATGCAAATTAATACTTTTTGGTCTGACAGCCTCATCCTGGCGTCGGCCTGTCTGCCAGGAGAGGGGTTACTTTTGCCAGGAGAGGGGTTAATTTCCCCCGGTGCTATCACTTCAAATGTACTGCTCCATGCTGCTAGTACAGTTCATGTTTTTGTGTGATGACATCCACAGGCAGACACTCTATACTTTTTTACATTACCTGTAGATTAATGTTTTTCCTCAAAATAAAATTATATCCAAATATTTTTATATGGAACTATTGCCTGGCTTTTAACCCATCAAATGCCTGGAATCTATGTAGTCAGTATATAATAATTATGTGAATATATAATATTTCCTACAGGCTTCATGGAGTTCAGCAATGTTGCAGTCAGAGGATGTCCAGAAATCAGCAATAGCAGCACTACAGAAGGAAAAAGCAGTGTTTTCAAAACTTTAGGATTTCTTGTCTTTAAATGTTATATGCAGGTGAAGAGAACATGTGGTGATTGAGGATAAATTATAGGTAAAAACATGGACCTCCATGGGAACAGATTTAATTTGATGTTAAACCGCATTAATTATAATTATTTTTTTAAATAGAACAAGTGTTAATATATTATTGGTGGTTTTGGACTACAGTACTGACAATTAAAGAACTCTATAACTTGTTAAAAAAGAATGTAATTTAATAGTGTTTATTGAATTTGTCCTACAAATATAACTTAATTTTGTACACCAGGTATGTGTACAAATAATGCTATCGAATATCAACCTTAATTTGGTTGGGGGGTGCGGCACTTTAGTAATATTTCGGTACACATTATGCATTTAAATGCCTAAATAAGTACAATCCAAAAAGATACAAATTTGTTTTAGTAGTGTAATCGGTCAGTTAAGTTTCATTGACAAGGAAAGGTCCATTGTTCACAAGTGCCCTCCCGGGAATAATACTAACAATGTGATAGAAATTTTAAGAACTGGATGTGTAAAAGTCTTCAAATAGTGTCTATTTTTAATTCTATTCAATGTTGCAATAAAATACAAACATGTGATGGCAAAACATTGGTAAGCTTATGAATAGTGTTTTCATACAATACTGTATTTGGATAAAACCAAAGATAATAAATAGCAGAAGATAGAGCAGCGTCCCAATATAGTGGAACATCGTTTGAAATGCATTGTGGGTACACGGAGAGCAATTTTAGCCCTTCCGCACGGCGGCGCTATATATCAATAATCAAGAGTGGACCGTTTTTGTTATCTTGGTGATACACTTAATAGTGGAGGCGGTTGTGAAATTGCGGTGGCATGGAGAAGTATGGTTGGATGGTCTAAGTTCAATGAGCTGGCCATGGTACTGTGTGGCAGAAGGTTCTCATTGGGAATAAAGGGTAGGATTTATAAAGCCTCTGTAAGATCAGCAATGGTGTATGGTGCCGAAACATGGAACATAAAGACAACTGAAGAGGGAATTTTG